GAATTTCCAAGACTGGAGCTGGCAACCCTAGTCAGTACTGGGCCCAATTAGTTTTTCACAGAGCCATAGAAAGGGTTTTGTTCCTTTGTCTATTTACTGGCAGAACCAAGCTCGGTTGCCTACCAACAACCACTGAGGGAGAAGTTAGAATGCTTTGGTCGGTGGCCTCTATGGCATTCTATTCAGCTGAGGCCTCCCCTCTCCAGTCCCCAAACTTTGGCTTCCTTAAACTGGCTTCCTTACCTGGAGCTGGCAACCCTATGAGTCCTCACAACAGCCACTGAGGGAAACCTTTGTCCCACACTCAAGAGCTAAGCAAGAAAACTGTGTTCCTTGGGAGACACAGAGCTTCTGACAGAGAACAATGCCTGACAGGGGAATGGGCGGGGAAGAGGAGCACACCCGGCCAGTGGCATGCCAGTAGTCTTGACTAGCAGCCGACGGGCCAATGGCTGAGGGAGCGCATGCAATCTCGCCACCCCATAGGCCAGAAGCCACTACCATTCGGCAAATATATATAAGAGAGATATGCAAACATGTGATTCCCCCTAAGTGCAGGATATAAAGAGCCCTGCTGAATCATACCAACATCCTCTTTCCCACACCCACTGGATGCCCCAGAAACTCCAGAGGCCAGACTCCCCTTGCTGCTGCCCCCCCACATCTGACATTTAGAGACATAGCATCTCAAACATGTGATTTCCCCTAAGTGCAGGATATAAAGAGCCCTGCTGAATCAGACCAACATCCTCTTTCCCACACCCACTGGATGCCCCAGAAACTCCAGAGGCCAGACTCCCCTTGCTGCTGCCCCCCCACATCTGACATTTAGAGACATAGCATCTCCATATATGAAGCTGCTGCCTTATGTGATTCTCCTGATTATGTGGCTGACTGATCTCCTAAAGGGGTGCACATTTTATTATTTCATTTGAACAGGAGAGTTATGATAGATTGTGAGGGGCAAAGAATACAAAGAGAGCAGTGGACACATGTATAAAGGTAAAGGTTCCCTTGCTCGAAAGCCAGTCGAATCCGACTCTAGGGTTGCGGTGCTCATCTCGGTTTCAAAGCCGAAGAGCCAGCGCTGTCCGAAAACGTTTCCGTGGTCATGTGGCTGGCATGACTAAACACCAAGGTGCACGGAACACTGTTACCTTCCCACTGAAGTGGTACCTATTTATCTACTTGCAATTTCTTGCTTTCGAACTGCTAGGTTGGCAGGAGCTGGAACTAGAGACGGGAGCTCACTCCGTCATGTGGCACCCGGGTCTCAAACTGCTGAACTACCGACCTTCCACAGCCTACAGTTCAGCGTCTTAACCACTTGAGCCACCGCAGCTCCATGGACATGTATACATAGCCTTAAATGACAACCCAGCAGATTTTCTGAACACAAGTTTACAAGAAATTGGAATTTGCTAGTTATGTGATGGAGAACTAGTGTTCTCAATGCTCAGTGGGCTCTCTGGGTACATTATCATGGACTATTCTATATCACTTCCTAGTACAAAAATGGGAATACATTTTCCAAAAACATATTCTGTACATTTATTAGATCAGATGTCAATATAAGTCTAATGATGTACTGGAGTACCCATTAATATTTCAATACCTCAAGTCATTTTGCTGCCCCAAGTGGGTAGAATGGGAGGACAGCCTCATGGTAACAGATATGGTTCTCTCCACCTCTGACTTATTTTTTGAGGGGGGGGGGGTGTTATACAGTGGCAGCTAAGGTAGAAAAGCACCTCCTCCTATGCCATGTTTTCTGGGTTCCAAGGGTATGGAAAGTGGTTCTATAGCCAATTACACGGTTGCCAACTCTGGGTTGGGAAATACCTGTAGATTTGAGGGGTAGAGCCTGGGGAGGGCAGGGTTTGGGTGTGGAGGGACTTCAGCAGGGTATAATGCCATAGAGTCCACTGCCCAAAGCAGCTATTGTCTCTAGGAGAACTGGACATCAGTTTTCATAGCTGGAGATCTCCAGGTGCCGCCTAGAGGTTGGCTTATGTTAATTTGGGGCTATGCAGTGACAGCTAAAATAGAAAAGCACCTCTTCCTATGCCATGTTTTCTGGGTTCCAAGGGTATGGAAAGTGGTTCTATAGCCAATTACACGGTTGCCAACTCTGGGTTGAGAAATACCTCTAGATACTAGGGGTACAGCCTGGGAAGGGCAGGGTTTGGGGTATGGAGGGACTTCAGCAGGGTATAATGCCATAGAGTCCACTGCCCAAAGTAGCCATTGTCTCCAGGAGGACTGATCTTGGTCATCTGGAGATCAGTTGTAATAGCTGGGAAATTTTCTGTAGAGGAAATGAAGTGCTGTAGCTGAGGAACATGGTGATTTCTGGGAGATCTCCAGGCCCCATAGGGAGACTGGCAACTCCAGTGACCATTTAAGGGAAGATTGGGATATGTATTTTACCTCAGGACATGTTCAGTGACTCCCAACAGCAACAGCAAACTGTTTAGAATGTTAGAGGGAAGGCCAATCAGGCCGCATATGCAAATGACCTCTGTGTTCCAAATGGCTATGGGGGGAGAGGAACAGCAAACTGTTTAGAATGTTGGAGGCAGGACTCAGGCAATGCAGCCAGTGGATAGGGAGACCCTCTGAATTACATATCAGGGAGCCTACTGATTTGGGAGAGTGTGGAATGTTCAGCAACGTGCCATCACCAAAAGACAATTATTATATATACAGATGTTTATTCTTTGAGCTTCTGGTTAGCAATTATACAGGAGGCAGTGAAATTTGTTTTTGGCAATTCCCCTTTTCACAGCTTCACACT